TTTTTTTTTTTTTTTTAAAGTAGGAAAATTTATTGAGGGAAAGAAAGCTTCTGCGTAAGAGAGACAGAAGGGGGACCAGAAAGTGGGTTGCCTCTGTCTTTCCTTCTTTTCACTAAGGTGGGCCTTGCTCTCATTTTGGTTGGAACAAAGAAATCTTGTAAGTTTGGAGCCAGAGAGGCTGGCAGGACAGAGGCCCAGCAGGGACTTGGATCTGAGTTCTGCCTGCTGTGGGCCCCTTGGCTTTCCCACACCTTGGCCCAGTCGTCTATAAAAGGAGGACTCCTGCCCCACAGGCTGTGAGGACTGCAGTTGAGGAGGCACTGTGGGGAACGTGGCCACACCGCCTGGCACTCGGGCAGTGCCGCAGCGCCCACAATAATGACCTTTGCTCGCAGCAGGGCAAAGTTTGGAGTTGGCTGGAATTGGGTCGGTGACCTCAGGACAGTTTCCTGATCCCTGCCTCATCCCCCAAGCACAGTGCACGCCCTACAAACCTGTCTCCCACTGGGCATTGGGCAGCCTGCTGTGCTCGTGCCTGCAACGGTGCCCAACCCAGCCGCTTGGGTGGAGGAGGCTGGAGTGGAATTTGTTAATTAAGCAAGTTGCTCCTGGGGCCCAGAGTCTGGGAGGTTGCTACAGTTTAATTACTGAGAACAGGGCGGAGGAAATTCTCTCTGGTGCCCTTGTTTCTGATGTGTCTGGAGGACCCAAGGGGCTACCCCGTGTGGGGGGACTGAGCAGGAGCCACTTTCTACGCCTCCCCTGCTGCCCTGGCCCTGGCCCTGGCCCTCAGCCCAGTCTTACATCTTTACTTACATGGATGTAGGAGCACACAGGACCAGAGTTCGAAACTGCTCCGCTCTGGGTCAGCCTGGCGATTATAGGAAAGCCTCATCACCTCCTTCACCCCTGTGTCATCATTGTAAAGCCTGGTAGGGGTGCTGGTGCTGAAGACTTGTTGGGTATTTGAAGGATTGAAAAGAGCACAGCAAATAGTGAGCCAGGTACAAGTGAGCAGTTAATTTTGTTTCTTTTCTTTTTTTCTTTCTTTTTTGTTTGTTAGTTTGCTTGTTGAGTCAGGGCCTTGCTATGTAGTTCAGACTGCTATTGAGCTCATTATGTAGCCCAGGCTGGCCTCAACCTTGCAGTTATCCTCCTGCCTCAGCGTCCTGAGTGCTGGGGTTACAGGTATGCACCACCACATCTGGAAAGCAATTTCTTTAAAGCGTTATTCTCAACCTGGGGGCCATGGCAGTATCCAAAGACAGTTTGGGTTCCTGCAGCTGGACGAGGTACTCCTGCCCCATATTGGGTAGCGTGCACACTGCTGACCACTGGCTGTGAACAAGGCAGGATCGGGTGTGAATGGCCGTCACGCTGAAGTTGGGCACTGCTGTGAAGTGTGCCTGGGTATAGGAACACTCTGGGGCCCAGGCCTCCCCACCCCGGCTCTTCACCCTTTTGTTCCTGTGAGCCAGCTGGGGGGCGAGGGTGAACAGAGGGAAGAGGAGGAAAGGAAGCTGGGCTCCTTAGACTTGATGCCTGCCATTTATCTCTGTCTCCTCTTGTCCTGAGCGCACTTCCTGCTGTGTTCCAGGGATCAGGCCACTTGTCCTGGCCTCCCTCTCAGTCCTGCCCTCCCTCGCCCACCCCTCTCTCTCGGTGACACGAACCTCACAGTGGCTGTCCTTCCACAGCCCAAGCAGCCATCTGCCTGGCTTCTTTTCCCAGAGATCCCCCTGGCTGCCCTGGTGCCACCTGGGAGCCTCGTCGCCTGGTCTTGGCGGTCACCACATCTCAGAGTTCTCCGAGTGCTGCCTGCTGCTCAGCTCCCTGAAGGACAGGTCTGCTCATGGTGTTTCGGGCCAAGCCGTCCCCTGTCCCTCATCCCTCTGGCTGTTACTTGAGTACAGGCAGCTGTAGTGCTGTCTGGCACTGAGGCCCCATGTCCTTCGTCACAGTGTCTGAGCACCTTGTCCTAGGGGTGACTGGGCTGGTGTGACCCCCCCCCCAGCACAGTGGGTCCCTCTGTGTGTCCCTCAAGCCTGCTATGAATGTCTGTGCTCTGTGTCTTCCTTTCTCTCAACCAGCAGACTCCCATTCATCCTTCAAGACCCAGCTCCTGTGACTTCTGCCTGGAGCCCTAGGCAGGGAGTCCCTCTCCTCCTGCCCTGCCTTTACTGTGCTGGGTTAAGGCCTCGAAGCCTATGTTTGGCGTGTGCCAGGCAGCCCAGGCACGTCTGGGTTTTAGCCTGACTGATGTGTCCTTTCAGGCTGTCACTGTGTTGTCTTCGCGCTGGTTTCTCTGCCATGTGCCGTGGTGCAGGGTGGGCAGCCAGCTCTGCATCTCGGCCTCCTCCTGTATCCCTGTCCCCGTGCCTGGCACAGGGCTGTGTGTACCTAGCACAGCTTGGTGACTTCTCGAGTCCAGAGTCTCAGTCGGGGAGGCACAGTGGGTCCTCATTGCATTTTGGAGCAGCTGTCTAATGTGTGGGCTCCAGGGGGGCTTCCCGCTCAGGGAAACTCATAGCTATGGCAGAGTAGTCAACCAGGTGTGGCCTCCCTGCTCCTGTTCCAGCCCTGGGCCACAGAGCCAACCCAGTGACAGTACCTTCAAAGGACAGTAGCTGGCTGCGGTCCTGCACTGGTCGGTGGTGCAGGATGGAAGGTGGAGCCCAGCACCGGAGTGTCGCTGTCTGACACTGCTCAGGGCCCTGGCGCTTTGAGCCTCAGTTGCCTTCTCTGCGACCCAGGAACAATTATCCCAGTATAAATGACCCCAACGGCGGCCCCATGCTCCCCACCCACTCACTCCTGCCCCTGAGTCAGAGACGCAGAGCTCCTCTCCACCCCGGGGAGGGCCGGGCCCTGCGGATGGATGAACCATGGCTGTCCTGGCAGCTGAAGAACTGAGGCCTTCAGAATGGGAGAGGACACTTTTCATCTCCTGCCAGACCTGCTGCTTGGGCAGAGAGTTCCCCAGGGCTCCTTGGTATTTCAGTGCTTTGATAATGGAGGAATAAAGAGCAATTAATTGCTATAAATGGCCTGCTCCTGTAGGGCTGGTCTGACGGTGGGGTGTGATGGGTCCCCTACCTCGACACAGGACAGCGACCAGTGTCTTGGAGTCGCCTGGCTTCCTCTGGGCAGGAGCCTCCCTCTCATCCTTGGGCGGCTCCTTCCAGGGGCTGAGGCCCCGGAGGCCATGACCAGGCCTGTCCTGTGGCCACGGAGGCTGGAGGGCTGTGTGGCTGGAGTGGTGGGCCACATCCCCACCAGGTTCAGGTTAGCAGCAGACATGACCTGGTGGCAGGTGAGGGGTGGTGAGTGTGCAGGGGTGGGAGGTGCGTTGTCCAGGCAGGGAGTTGAGGTTTGCGTGGCATCTGAGAGGTGGGACATTTGCTGTCATCGGTGATTCACTGTGGTCCTCTCTGATTAACCCAGGGAGGAGCCCGGTGCTGACAGGCTGGTGACAGGCTCCCAGAGCAGTCACAGCGGGTTCCTGGCTTGCCTGACACGCAGGTCTGTCTGGACTGTGGTCGCCCTGGCCGTGAGCTTCCGCAGCTTCCTGTCCCTTGGCAGGGCATGTGCCAGGTGGCTCCTCTGTGACTGTGCTCTGCGTTCCCACAGGGCAGCAGCCTCCTCCACCTCCTCCCGGCCGGAGCCTGAGCCTCACAGCGGGGCACGTGTGCCCGGAGTTAACTTCAGAGCAGGTAAGGACTGCAGGAAGGGTGCTGTGGTGCAACCACGGGTGGTGCTGGTGGGGCTGTCCGACTCCCTGTCTGCGTTTCTCCATGGTGCTCCTTTCAGGCTCGAGGTTTCTTTTTTTCATTCCTTTTTCTTCTTTATTTAGTTCTGCAGATTGAACCCAGGGCCTTCACACTGAGCTATTATGTCATCAGCCCTTTTTATTTTGAAACAGGGTCCTGCTAAATGATTTTCCTGCCTCAACCTCCCACAGCGCTGTGATTACAGGCGTGCACTGCTGTGCAGGGTTGCGGGTCCCTTCCTTTCTTTTCTTCCCTGCTGAGGCTGGAGCCCAAAGCCCTGTGCTCACTAAGCACGTGCTGTACCCTCCTGCGCCCTCCCCATGTGTTCTTTCTGTGAATGCTGCGGTGCGGATTTCTTTCAGGCTAAAACTTGCAGAGTCTGAATTAATATTTTATATAAACTCTGAACTACAGTTACATGCCAGTATGTTTTTATACAGTGTAAACTTTGCAAAAATGTGTGTTAGTTTTTATGTGTAAATATTTAAAATCCATCATGATGTCCTTTTTTTATTTTTGGTACCAAGGATTGAACTGAGGACCTTGTGTTTGAGAGGCAAGTGGTGGCAGCACTGAGCTAAAGCCCCGGGCCAAGATGTCCTTTCACTTATTTATTTTTTTGAGTTTTTTTGAGACAGGGTGTCAGTATGTAGCCCAGGCTGGTCTCACACTTATGGTGGTCCTCTCGCCTAAGGCTCATAAGTGTTGGGATTACAGCACCACCCTGCCCAACCCTGATACTCTTTTTTTTTTGAGACAGTCTTGCCATGTAATTTATTTAGGCTGGCCTGGAACTCACTATATAGCCCTGACTGGCCTCGAACTCACAGTGATCCTCCTGCCTCAGCCTATCTAGTGCTGGGGTTTTAGGCGTTGTACCACCTTAATACATTTTTAAATGGACAAAAGGAAAGGCAGTTGCAGAACCTAGGACAGAGGCTCCTGGGCACCTAGGACCCGCCCTGTGTCTGGCCCTGCTGAGCTGGTTTGCTGTTTTCTGAGCAGGTGCAGATTCCTGGGTGTAAGTGATTCTCTTTTTTCTGGAACTGTGAGTGTTTAAACAGCACTGATTCCAGGTTTCTAAAAAAAAAAATTAGTGCAAGTGGCTGTGCTTGTATTCAGGGCTACTTGTGTTCTCCCAGGGAGGCCAGCTTCCCTGGCTCTTTTCCAACATCAGTGGTCTTTCTCAGCCACTGCTGTACCTCCTTGTTTTGCCCTCCAGGTCCTCATGGTTGATGGCGGTCCTTGCACAGGCTGGGCAAGAGGGCAGCATCGTGTCCTTGACTATCCTATGTCCTCTCAAGCCATGAGCCTCATAGTTCACTGTGTGTGAGGATCCTTCCCAGGGCTGGGAGCCACTTCCTTACTGTCGGACCTGGCCGGCCACACTTCCTTCAGCCTCCCTGTGGTGCGTGCATGTGTGTTTGCCTAGAACATCACCTACTTTTCACCAGACCATGCTTCGCTGTCTCATTTATATGACAGACCGCCACTCTCCCTGCTCATTTGCGTGATTGACAGCTACCTGTCATTGCTTTCTGTTGTCCTTTTTCTTTTTTGTGGCACTGGGCATGGAACCCAGGGCTTCAAGCTGAGCTACAGCCTTGCCCCTTTTCAAGTTTTTTTTTGACAGGGCCTCACTATGTAGTTGAGGCTGACCTGGAAGTCATTATGTAGCCCAGGCTGGTCTTGAACTCACAGCAATCCTCCTGCCTCAGCCTCCCGAGTGTTGGGATTACAGGCGTGCGCCACCATGGCCAGCTCCTTTTCAAGTTTTAAGTTTTTATTTATTTATGTATTGTTGAGTTGAGCTGCTGAGTTGTCCAGGCTGGGCTCACACTTGTGATTCTCCTGCCTCAGCCTAACAGAGTGCTGGAGTTACACAAATGCACCATTGCACCTGGCTTCATTTTTCCTTTCTTCTTTTTTGACTCCTCTCTGAATTGGACAGCTACCAGAGGGAAACCCTCTTAAGATCTGAAAGGCAGCACTGTCCCATTTTAGGCGACAGGATGTTCACGGTGCTGGCTGAGGCTGGCACTGACGAGCATGTGTCTTGGTTCTTTGGTCCAAGGACCGGATGAGTCGTTCTGTGTCTGTGAGCTGCAGTGGGAGCTTGCGTCATCTCAGTGGTTCTTGACCCCATAGGGGAAAATGGGGGTTTTCAAGTGCAGTTAATTTGCTGTTGGGGTTGTGACGAGAATGTAATGCCACATTCTCTCACCTGGGCCACAAACCCAAACATGCTGTGCTGCTCAACCCTAGACTCCAGCAGCCCAGAGCTTGCGCGGTTTGGGTTGACTGGGATTGATTATTTTCGGTTACTCGTTGCTTTCACAGCAACACCCTGCTCGCCAGTCGGGGTGGAACGTGTCAGCCTGGCACGGTGTTCCCAGCGCTCCTGCCCTGCGCAGGGTGGGGACTGTGCTCCCCGCCCCTTCTCCCCCAGGTCCGGCCCTGGGTGCTCCTTCCCTGCCAGGAGCCGGTTGAGTCAGCTCCATGAGCAGCTTGAGAAATCCTAGATGAGTAGAATTTTTAGAAATGACAGCTCAGGAGTCTTCCTGAGGCAAGAAGAGCCAGCTTGAGAAACTCTGCCAGAGAAGCGTGCAGAAGGGAAAATGATCTGGCTCCGCACACCCAGCAGTTCCTGGCGACACCAGCCCGGGGGCAGTGAGTCTGATGGCCGAGCCAATGGGAGGCACCTGTGTGTCCAGGATGCATGGACCGAGCGAGACTGTGCCGCACACACGCTGACTGCCGCCGTGGACACATCGGGCTGTTGGCACCGACCGTGTGACAGGGCCCCAGGTCTGGGGGTGGCGCCACCCCTTGCCTGGGGAAGACTGTTGTCTGCATGAAGAGATGGATCTTCTCTGGGACTGGACGGAGGGCGGCTTGTGAGAGTGCGTTTGGAGTAAAGAGCTGGGTGTGGTGGTTCATGTCTAAAACCCAACAGTCTGCAGGCAGAGGCAGGAGGATCAAAAGCTAGAACCTGGCAAGAGTACCTGCCCAACTTATCAAGACCCTGTCTCCACACAGTGCAGGAGGCGGTGGGGTTGGAGATGTTCTCAGTGCATTGAATCAAGGGCCACAAAAAAAGGAAAGGGGCAGCCCCAAACCTCAGCAGGGTGATCAGCTCGCCACCTTGGCAGCCAGCTGGCCTGTGTGAACAGGGAGGTCAGCAGCCCCTGGGTGCCTTGGGCAGGTGTGTGTGTGTGTGTGTGTGTGTGTGTGTGTGTGTGTCTGTGTGTCTGTGTGTCTGTGTGTGTCCGTGTGTGTGTCTTTCTGTCTGTATGTGTCTCTGGAGCTGTTGTGTGTGCTGACACCTAGTGGCCAGGCCCCTGCATCCCATCCTGTCTCAAGGAAAGCATAGGCTGGGCCAGCTTTTGGGCACAGTGGGAAGCTTTTTACCCTGGGGATCCCTGACTCCTATTTTGTGTGTGTGTGTGTTTGAAACAGGATCTCATTATATAACCCTGGCCGCCCTTGAACTCATAGTGATCCCTGCCTTAGCCTCCCAAGTGCTGGGATACAGCCTGCGCCACCACGGGCGTGGTACCTGGGTCCTTTGATGCAGTGACATTTGACCCTGAGCTGCTGTTGGTGTTGTCGGAGGGGGAGCTCAGATACCACTGCTGTCCCATTGCAGCCAGCCAGGCAGGTGCCTCCCGGTGTCGGGCTCCAGGAGGACCCTGATGGCCCCACACGCAGAGCTGCATGAGAAGCAGGAGCTTTCAGGTGGGGGTGCTGGGGTGCAGGCGCAGAGCCAGAGTCTGCCAGAGTCTGTAGGGAAGCTGAGGTGACAGTGAGAAGCCGGGGACACCCAACATGAGGGCTGCTGGAGGAGCAGTGTGCTGAGGCGGCTGGCCTCTCAGGATTGTTCTGGCTAAAGTGGGTTTGAGGAAAGGAGGAGGAGAGAAGGGGGATCCTGGGGTTGGCACATCGTAGCCCAGATGGGAGCAGCTGTTGGGGGAGATGGAGCCTGAGGCTCAGAGCAGGGCTCACCCAGAGGCGTGGGGAGTGCAGCCCCTGCTCCACGCTGCCCTGTGGGTGCTGGAGGGAGGCGAGAGAAGCAGTGATGCCCCAGGACCCTGCCCGGGGGCTCCATCCTTGCGCTGTCTCTGCTCCTTCCTGAGCCTGGTGGGAGCTGACGTGGAGTAGCCAGAGAGGAAGAGGCTGCAGGCTGGGTTTGGAGATGGGAGGTTCGGAGGAGCCTTTGCTGGCAGCCCAGCTGGCACAGACTTCTGCCTACTGTGTGAGCTTTAGGGCGGGGTGTCAGCCTGGGGCGTGAGGAGCCACGCCCACAGGAGGTTGTGCTGTTCCGAGCCCGCCCCGCTGGTCCAGCTCTCAGACCCTGGGAGAGGGCCCTGTGAGGAGTCCCTGGCCTGCCAACCTGGTTCCTGTTCCCCGAGTGCGGCTCCTTGGCACTGGGGCTGGCGAGGCCCCACCCCACCAGCTGCCGAGTTATTTCTGACTCATCCAGGAGTTACAAGTGTGTAACCCAAGCCTCTCCACACCCGCTTCCTCTCCTCTACCCCTCCTGCAGCCCCTCTCCCTGCCCCACTGCGGGTCAGGTCCCGTGGCCGCTGCCCTCGGACAGGTGGGGTGCACGGGTACGGGGGCCTGAGCTGGCCTCCTGACCTCGGCAGGCTGCTGCAGCCACTGGTCTTCGCTGGGGCTGGCACAGGTCCCACAGTTCCTCAAGGCCTGGGCAGCGCTTCTGACTGTGTCACTGGCTCCTCGTGTAAGCTGCTCCCTTTGGACGCCAGGACCCCATGCTTCCGTCTCCTGAGCTCACAGCCTCGCTGTCCCACTGCTCCACACACGGCCACAGCACCTGCTCTGGGCCAAGCTTCCCAGCCAGGGCCAGTGGGCAGCCTGCCCCGTCCTCTCAGCTCTCAGCAGTGAGACTGGGTGGGAAGGGGCTGCTCAGAGAGAGGGGGTCGCCCACAGGTGCCAGGTCTTAGCACATCTCCCCGCCCATATAGGAGTCCCCAGAGCTGGGCCGAGGGGATGAACCGCGAGGGTGCGGCCGGGAAGAGTCCAGAGGAGATGTACATCCAGCAGAAGGTCCGCGTGCTGCTCATGCTGAGGAAGATGGGGTCGAACGTGAGTGCTGTGGGTGTCACCGCGAGGGTGCCTGACCCTGTGGCCTGGAGCGGGGGCTGCCTGGCTTGGGGTTTGGCTCTGTGGCCAGTTCAGGGGGATGTGCAGAGTCTTCCCGCCTCGTGCTGTGCTGGGCCAGGACAGTGAGGGTCTGGGGATCCGACCTGCCCCCTCTCCCCCTTAATCCCAGCTTCTCTCTGGGAGGGTCAGCTGGGCCGGATGGGCACTGAAGAGGGCAGCACAGGCCCAGGGCACCTCTCAGAGAGCAAGGGGGCATCTGGAATTGGCCCTGCCCTCAGCTTGGGCAGGGTCCTTGTCTCCTGCTGGCCCTGCGCAAGGCTCCATGCCTCCTAGATTCAGTCCTGGGGGCTCCAGGGTCAGGCTTCTGGGAAGGCCCCACACCAGGGTCCGGGAGCAGGCACCGCCCTCACGCACACACTTTCCGCAGCTCACGACCAGCGAGGAGGAGTTCCTGCGCACCTACGCGGGGGTGGTCAGCAGCCAGCTCAGCCAGCTGCCCCAGCATGCCATCGACCAGGGTGAGTGGTGTCCCGTGTGGGCTTGGTCAAGCAAGCAGGGAGACCGATTGCTGTCCTACAGGTCCGCTTCCTCAGCCAGGCCGGTGGTGGGATCCCCTTCTGGTAACAGTTCCCTTCGGCTTTGCCTGGCTCTGCCACAACCTCGCTTAGGGTGAGCTGGCCCGTGTGCCACACCATGACACACACAAGGGTTCCCTAAAGCCCAAGGCAGTTATCTTCTTTGGGGTGACCACAAGCAACCCTCAAGGACACGGGAGACATGGGAGGCACTGTGGCAGGCACCATGCCAAGCTCTTGTCGTTCCCAGTTCCCTTTAACTACAGACAGCAGTAGTTTGTATCACTTCCAGTTACCACCATAAGTCATGGCCCTGGATCATGCAGCCCAGTCCTGAGCGGACGTTGTCCTGTCTTCTGTCACCAGCCAGGCTGCTCTCCCTCTCGGGGAGGCTGATCTTGACACTGGGGTTGGTAGTCTTTTTTTTGTTTTTGAGACAGGGTCTTGCTGTGTAGTTCAAGCTGGCCTGCAGCTCACTACGTAGCCCAAGGTGATCCTCGTGCCTCAGCCTCTAGAGAGCCAGGATTACAAGTGTGCCCCACTGTGCCAAGCTTTGTAGCCTGGTATTCTGACCAGACCCTCCAGGTAGTCCTTTCCCGTTACTCTCCTTATATTCTGTTGGAATTATCAGCATAATACTCTAGCCGTGGTGTGTCCAGACATGTGTCATGTCCTCCTGGAGAACATGCGTCCTGACTCCACCTGGCACCAGGGCTGGTCCCCAGGCAGAACCCTGGGTGTGACCCAGCCCAGGCACCCAGCTCAGCAGAAACCTCCCAGGGCGCTGGCGGCTTCCTGAACAGCACTCACCATTGTGGCCATGCTGGGTCCCCATTGTGGAGCCAGGTGGCCCTGAAACCCTTGGGCCTTGAGTCCCAGGGACTTCTCTTCCTCCCCACCTCATCTCCATCGCTGAACCAACTAAATTGCTGTGAGGTGGTGAGAACGCTCCTGTGGACTGGCCCAGAAAGAAATAAGTTGCACAGCACTACAGCAAGTCCCCTGCCACACACACTCACTGGTGTGTGGACAGGAAGGCTGACCATGGCCATGCGTGGTGCATACTGTAATCCTAGCAGTTGAGAGGCTGAGGCAGGAGGATCACCAAGAGTGTGAGGCCAGCCTGGGAAGATTACAAGATCTTACCTCAAAAAACAAACAAATGAAAAGCTGATGAAATGTGTACCCACTGTTAATATAAAAGAAACTTTGTGTGGCACTGGGGATGGAACCCCTGCCCACTAGATGCCTTTGAGGGGAGGGCCTGTCAGGGACCTCCGCTTTCCAAGTCACAGCGTCTTATAAAGTGAGCTTTATGGTTGTGTAGCAAGGGGAAAACACCGGCAGGGAGCTCTTGCTCTCTTCGCTGAAGCAGCACGGAGAATGCAGATGGCTCTGATGGGCTCCAGGAAGAGTGCAGTGACCACACCTTATGGTGGACCTGGCCAGCAGGCATGTGGGGGTGTGGGCATGGCCACAGGGGGTGCAGTGTGCAGATGCTCCTGTCTCGGCAGAGGCACCGAGGTGCGGCTTGGGCTCCCGCGTGCTCACCCCCACCCACACACCCAGGGATGGTCACCTCTAACCAGGCTACTGGGCAGACCTGGAGGATTCCATGTCTGGGGCAGAGAGGGCGGCTGTGGTTGGAAGAGCTTCCTGGGTCTTCTGTTCTCTTCTTTTGTTATTTTTTGGTTTTTGAGACAAGGTCACTATGTAGCCCAGGCTGGCCTCAAATTCAGGACCTTCCTGCCTCAGCCTCCTGAATACTGAGGTTACAAACGTGCACTACCACACCCAGCTCTCCTCTTTTTCCTCTCCTGTCTTCTCCTCTCCCTCCCTTCTTCCTTTCTTCTTTCCTTTCTTTTTTCCTTTGTTGTTGTTATACTAGGGATGGAACCCAGGTTCCACATAGAGCTTCATTCCCAACCCTTTCTGAATTTAATTTTATTTTTATATTTTGAGACAGGCTCTCACTAAGTTGCCCAGGCTGGGCTTCAATTTGTGATCCTCCTGCCTCAGCCCCGCAGAGTGGTGGGATTACAGGGATGTACCAGCAATGTCAGCAATTTTGTTTTTCTTTTTTAAATTTATTTTATTTAGATACAGTGTCTCACTGTGTTGCCCAGGCTGGTCTCAAACTCCTAGGCTCAAGGGATCCACCTGCCTTGGCCTCTCAAGCAGCTGGGACCACAGGTGTGCACTCCTCTGTCCAGCTGTGTTATTCTCTGTGTGCCTAAAGGTGCCACAAACAAATACAGCCCTGAAACTGTAGTCTTGTTTCTCCCAAGGGCTCGCACGCTGAAGGCCGGGAGTCTTCAGTGCTGCCCACACCACGGGGCCAAATTCGAACCTGCCACCCTTTCCCCTGGTGGAGCCAGCCTCAGCCGTGCCCAGGCATTGTGCTGTCAGTTGCACAGGTCCTGCCGGGGTGTCAGCCTAGATCTGTGTGTCTGGGAGGTAGCATGGGGCAGGGAGCCAGGGTGATGCCCACAGGCCTGTGTGAGCACCTTATGCCCAGCAGGTGGCGCCATCTGCCAACAGATGACTGTTGCTCTGCAGGCCAGCCACCTCCTGGCTCTGGCTTCGAGGGCCTGGCCACCACCTTTAGGCCCCCAGGCACTTGTCCCCTGGGGCTGCAGCCCTGAGCTGGGGAGGAGCCTGACTTAGGGCCCCCCATGCTGCAAATGACCTTGGCTGCTGTCAGGCTGCCTGACCTGTGCCAGCTGAGGCCACTAATGAAAGCCTCCTCCCCTTCCTTCCTGAGACCCTGTTTCCTTCCCCAGTTTTTCCCTTGTCCTCCTTGTGCTGCTGTCCTCTCCCTTGCCCCCCACACCCTCCCTGTGAGGTCACTTGTGTCCTCACAGCCTCAGCAGACAGCTCTGGTCAGCACTTTGAAAACAGAGGCCCTCAGGCCAGACCTCTTCTGACCCTAAAGGCCAGGGTGACTTGAAGCTTAGAGATATCAGCAGTTTCCCTCCCACTTAGAATTGCAGGGGCTCCTGCTGCCTCAAGAGTGAGCCCCCAGCCACCTGTCCCTGCACATGGGGAGGGAGGGAGGGACCTGAGTCAGGTCCTTTGGGGCTGTCCCCTCTTCCAGGACCAGTATGGGTGGTTTACTGGTTCTGAAATAATCCTCAGTCTGGAAAACAGCAGAGAGGCTTACAGGGTTGCCTCCTCCTGTTGCACAGCTATAACCATGGTTAGCCTTTTCTGTCTGTCTGTCTGTCTGTCTGCCTATCTACCCATCTATCTTTTGGTACTGGGGATGGAATTCGGGTCCTTGCACTTGCGAGACAGGCGGTGGCACCACTGAGCTAAATCCTCAGCCCCTAGCCTTCTCTTCAATTTCCCAACAGGGCCTTTTTTCCCTCCAATACTAAGGATTGAACCCAGGACCTCATGCATTCTAGGCAAGTGCTGTTCTGCTGATTTGGTTTTTCTTTTGAGACAAGGTCATGCTATGTAGTTCAGGCTGGCCTTGAATTCACTATGTAGCCCAAGCTGGCCTTGAACTTGCAGTGATCCTCCTGCTTGGTCTCCCAAGTGCTGGAATTACAGGTGTGCACCACCATGCCAAGCTGAATTTTATTTTGAAGTGAGTTTCCACTGAGTTGCCCAGGCTGGCCTCAAAATTGTGATCTTCCTCAACTCGTGAGTAGCTGGGATTACAAGCATGTACCACCATCCCCAGCTCCCAGTGTCCTTTTAAAAACATACATAATGAGCTGTGTTTTGTGGCACACACCTGTAATCCCAGCTCCATGGAAAGCTGAGGCAGAAGGATTTCAAGCTCAGTTATAGTGTGATAAGAGACTCAGTCTCAAAAAAAAAAAAAAAATTAAAAAAGGGCTGAGGATGTAGCTCAGCAGGCCCCTAGGGTCAATCGTCAATACTGAAAAAAAAATTGTGCACGTTGGCCAGGAATGGTGGAATACCAATACTGGGGAGGCTGAGGCAGGAGGATTTCAGTGAGTTCAAGACCATTTTGAGCTACATTCTTTTTTTTTTTTTTATATGGGGGTTGAACTCATGACCTCGTGCTTGCAAAGCAGGCGCTGTGCCACTGAGCTACATCCCCAGCCCCCATCTTGAAGTACACAATGAGACTGTCTAAAACACTTTTTTTTTTTAAAGCATGCATGTTAGGGCCAGGGATTTAGCTCAGTGGTTCCACTGCTTGCCTTGCAAGCACAAGGACCTGAGTTCACTCCCCAGTATCAAAAACCAAGCATGTTAAAGGTGAATCTGTACAGCATAAATATATATATTTTTAAATTGTTTAATTGTTATATGGCATGATGATGCATAGTCACAAAATTTATGCAGCATAAAAAAAAATTTTTTTTTTTTGATACCATGGATAAAACTCAGGACCTTGCTCTTGTGAGCCAGGTGCAGTGCCACTGAGCTACATCCCAGCCCTAACACCGTAATTTTTTTTTTTTTTTTTTGGTACCGGGGATCAAACTTGGGACCTTGCGCTTGTGAGGCAGGCGGTGACACCACCACCATAAATATTATAACACTGATTTTAGCATCCACTTTTTTACTTAGAATAATTTTACTATCTCCTAAACAATTTCCAAAAAAAGCATCTTAGCAGTTGCAGAATAAGCAGCCACCTTTGGCTGTTTTGTAATTCATTGACCAGCCACTCCCTATCGGGTCTCTGCCTTTCCTTCCTGCTTTTAATCACAATAATGACTTAAGCTCTTCCTGGGGGACCTGGTAACATACAGGATTATGACATAGGTGCTGTGTTGGGGCTACTTTCAAGTGAGAAACTGGCTCCAGGGTTAAGGAGATCCAGGCCCCAGAGCAGTCAGCCTGGGCCCTGGCTGTGGCAGGCATCTGGTGTAGAAATCCTCAGGACTTACTACAGGGTCCATCTAGAAGTGGCTATAGGCAGCCCCCACTTTTTTTTTCTGAGACACTCACTGTGT